GCTCTATGTTAGGCATCCTTTCCACTGAAAGGGCTCTCAGGGCAGAAAATAACACAATCTGTGTTCTTTTTCAACTTGGCCATTGCCTGCACCTGACTTGTGAAAGCCATCTCAACACTGCCAGGGTGGGAAATGCTGAGAGAATCATTTGCTAGAGAGAACTGGAAGGTAAGAGCAGGTTTCTGCACATCCCATCCAAGGGTCTATACATCTAGGATCGCTCCAGGAGCAAGTACCAACCAAGACGAACCTAAGGTAGATAAAACCAGTCGAGCTGGTCACAGAAATCTTCCTTTCTAGATTGTTGGGCCACATTCTGCTGATCCACAGTGACCAACTGTCCAGCTTGTCTGGAACTGAGAGTTTTCCCAGGAGATGGACCTTTCAGTGCTAAATCCCATAAAGTCCTAGGCAAACCCTACACTGATTTCTCTGAGTTACTGGTTCTACCCCAAAGTGGTTTCCCCTAAATAGGCCAGTCTTAGTTCTCTAGTGCTGCTAAACATAAATATCACAAGTGAGTAGCTCTAACAAACAGAAACTTACTTTCTTACAGTTTAGGAGGCTAGAAGTCTGAATTCAGAACACTGGCTCTAGGGGAAGGCTTTCTCTCTCTGTTGGATCTGGGGAAATGTCTTTGTCTCTTCCAAGATTCTCCTGGGCAGTCTTCATGTGACTTGGCATTTCTCTTCCCTCATCCCAGCTTTGTTTGTGTATTTAATCTCTTCATATCCCAAAAAAAGTTAGACTCATTAGCATAACAAGATCAACCCATTTCCAAACGGAATTCCAACCTACGAATAGAGGTTAGGATTTACAACACATGTTTCTGCAGGACATAATTTATAACAAGGCCCTTGAGGTGGGCACATGTGAGTGCCTGCTCTACACCAGGCTCTGGACACACACACATGAATATAGTGCCATTCTGACCCAGAGGCATTTAAAGGAAACTCATCAAATTATTACATGGCTCATTTGGATGCTGGAATAGAGGTATACTGGTGCCCCACACATTTGTGCCACCTCTTTTGATCTTGGGTAGGTGCCCTTGTAAAGAAATGACCATATCTGTATATTTCTTGTAGTGAGGCTGAATATTCTGATGTTGTTGTCATTGGGACCTTAAGATAAGGCCACCCCTGTGTCAATCAAGCTGGGAAGAGGATCCTGGGACAGAAAGTCAGAACTTCTCTCTGGGCCACATGGAAACAAATGTGCTCTAGGCCCTGACTGCACATTAGAATTACTGGGGACATTTTTTGTAATTTTAAAACTACCCGTGCTCATTTCATATCTCTCTTTCAAAACCTGGTGTGGGGACCAGGTATCCACTTCCCCCCTTTTTTAAGTTTTTATTATGGAAAACTTCAAACATAAAGTAGAATAGTATAATGAGCCATTAAGTCAGATTCAACAGTAATAAAAAATGTGCCAATTTTATAAAGCCTTGTGGAACCCCTGAGACTGTGGCCCCTCGCTGCCCTCCAGGTCTAGAATTGAACCCACTCCTGTGGCTTCCAGCCAAACAAAAGACAGGCATATGAGCTGAACATTTACATTAGGTAGATACACTCCTTAAGAGATCAATCATGGGAGAATAGAAGGGCACAGAGAGACAGCTGGGGGGGGGGAGCAGGAGTGTGTGGGAGGGAAGGACACAAGGAGGAAGTGGCTATGGGGAGGAATTGGGAAGAG